TTTTTTCTAGCTGCTTTTAATATTTTGTTCTTGTTCTTTGATTTTCTGGAATCTTGATTATTATACGCTTAGGTGTAGATTTATTTTGGTCATGGGTATTTGGGGTTCTATATGCTTCGTTAATTTGTATGTCACTTTTTCCATGTTTGGGAAGTTTTCTGCCACTATTTCTGTGAAAAGGTTTTTAATGTCTTTTGTGTTGTCTCCAACTTCTCACCCACTCCAATCAATCTTATGTTGTTCTTTTTGCTTCATCTTGTAGATGTTGGCTTGGTTTTCTTGTGTTGTCCTGTCAGTTTTAAGATACCTTTCTTTTCCTGGTCCATAGCTGTAGTATTGTCTTCTAGGTCTGCTATTCTATCTTCACCTTCAATTAATCTGTTGTGTACACTTTCAATAGAGTCTTTAATCTCCTGGATTTCTGTTTGGATCTGTTTCACGGATTCCATTTATTTTCTATGCTGGGCATTTTTGGTTTCTTGAGCTCCTGTTTTTTTTTTTTTTTTTGTCTGTGTTTGCTTTAATATCTTTCATTTTGATCATCACTTTTTTGCACCCTAAGGATTGTTTTTTCTATAGCCTCTTCCATTTGTTTTTTCATTTCTGCTGCTATCATTTCAGAACACTCCAATAGTTGGCTTCTGATTTCCATTATCTCTCTGCGCTCTGGACTTGTCCTGTGTGGGATGAGCATTTGGTGTTGTATTTTGTTTGTCTTATCAATTCTTATTTTTTTATTTTACTTTTGTGTTCTGTATTGATACTTGTGGATTTCTTATGCTAGATCAGCTTTATCCCTGGTATTGATGTTTCCCTAGAAGATGGCTGTTTCTCAGGATGTCTTCTAGATGTAGGTGGTTCTTGGTCTTTTTGCCTTTCCCAAGAACTTAGCTTTCCACTATATTAAGAATTCAAAAAAAAAAAAGAATTCAATGTCTGTATCTATTTGACTCAATACCTAGTCCTTTGGTACTTCACTATGGTGATGATTATGACTACATACAATCACAATGCCATCATACAAGAGAGAAAAACTGATTATAACAAGTATGACATCCCAGATAAAGTAGTACAGCTGGCAATAACAATAGACTCAAGCACAATCTGGCTACTGACAAGCTTAAATATTAACCTGATACCTTAAACCACAGGAGCAAGCTCTAAAGTTATACAAATCCCAATTGTATCAGGAACTTGTATAAATGATTTTCCACTTATTAGAGTGATTTTATCCTGTTCTGTGTCTAGGGGATGGTTAAGAGTGATGGGGGTAGGATGGAGAGATGAATGAGGTTAAATATATTAGGATCAAGGCTAGATGGCAAAGGATGATCATTCAAGTTTTGGGTGGATAATTGTAGGATACAAGAGGGAAGGGTTGGTAAAGAAACTCTAGGAGTATTAATGTGAATCTTAAGGGGAAGAGATAATGTTTACTAGCATGAAAGTATAAAATCAAGTGAGGTAGTTGACAAGAGGGAAAAATAGGATGAGAAATAAGCCAAAAGAAAAGTTAGCGATCTAAGCGATAAAAGAAAGAAAAGAAGAAAAAGAAAAAAAAACCCAGAGAACAAAAATAGCCACATACATGGAAAAACAAACAAATATACAGAAAGAAAATTAAACAAGATAAAAACAGAATAAAGAAAAAACAAAAACAACAAAAGAACAAAAACAAACAAAAAACTATAAACCCATCAGATTTAAAGAAGAAAACCAATCAGACAGAAAGGTATAAACAGTAAAATTCCTCCAGTGTCTACAGTTCTGTGGTAGTTCCAAGTCAGATCCCAGAGAAGTGTACTTTAGTCAAGTTTACAGGTGGATTTATGCTGAATACAAGTTTGATCTTGGCCTCTGGACTTGGGGGATGGGATTAGTCTTCTGTCCCTGGAATTCTCCCAAGCCCTTTAGGGAAGGAAAAAAAAAAAAGGTGGCCCTGTCCACCTGTTTCTGTTCCACATGTCTTGTGCCTAAGCACTATGATGGTCCATCTCACTTACCAACTGCTGACTTATACTGTTAGGACTGCTCTGGACTTTTCCAGGCTGCTAGTCCTGCCTGTCCACCCTGAGCCCCCCACTGGGGTCCCACTGTATCACTGACAATCTCTCTGGCCTGCCCAGGCCCTCTGGATGGAGCTCATCCAATGTATAGCATACAACAACTTTTTAATTTAAACTATCTTAGACCTCCTTTTAAGTCAATTTTTATAGATCTACTTCTTTCCACAGTGTGGACCTAGTGTATTTATTTAGTGATATCCTTTTCATCACATTGTCTTTATCATTGCTATAAGTTGTACCACAATAAACATGTCCAGGCGTCTTCCCCCATTTGTGGTTTTTTTTGTATCTATAATATAAAAATTAGGAAATACACAACTTTCACTGCTCCACCTTTTGGCTAAACTCAAATGTAGAAAAGGTATAATTAAAGAACATTTATTTGAGGAATGCAAGATTGACTGAACACCCAAAGCCCAATTAAAATAATAGACCATAATAATGAATCAAATCTGGAGAAGAAAATGACTAGAATGAAGAAGTCATTAGATAGATTAACAGCAGCTTCAAGTTGACAGAAGAACTAATAAACTTAATGATCATTTAATAAACATTGCTTAGTCTGGAGGCAAAAGGCAAAAGAAAAAAACTAAACAGAATCTCAGAGGCCCAAGGGACATTATCAAACACATCAATATAAATAATGGAAGTCTCAGAAGAAAAGGGGCAGAAAAGGATCTGAATATATATAATGGTTGAAAAGTTTTCAAATCTGACAAAACCATTAATCAAGACATACAAATTGCTTAATAAACTCCAGGAGATAACCCTCCAGGACACCTATGCTTAGATACATCATAACAACATTGACAGATAAAGCAAAGAAAGAAATGTTGAGTATTATGGGGAAAAAAGCACTCAGCACATTCAGGGGAACTGTAGAAATATTAAAATTTACACCAGAAACAACATGAGACCAAGGTGATGGGATAATATATTCAAATTAAACTCAATTGAAGTTAAGAGTAAATATGGTGCTGTAAGTCAATGAAAGAAAGACAAAATAGAGAAAGTCAAGGCAAAGTTTTTGGGCTCAGGCTGGGGATTTAGTTCAGTGTCTTAAGTGCCTGCCTGGCAAGTACAAGGTCATGAGTTTGATCCCCAGTATAAAAAAAAAAAAGTTTTGGGGCTTTTTTTTATTTTTGTAAATCTCAACAAAAGGGCCAAACTGTCAGTTTTACTGACCAGGGAAAAAGCGAGAAGATCTAGATCAAACTCAAGTTGAAAGAAGAGACTGCAGAAGTTAGTAAGGTCACAAGGAAACGCAAGGAATGAATTAGACAACTTGGATGCAATAAATAGGTTAATGAACCTGACACAAGGAGAAGTAGAAAATGTGACTAAATCCATAACAAAAAGTCAAAATGTCAGAACACGTCTTGACTTAGTGTCTTTATTTTCAAGCTGGATCAAATCAGATGATATCTTTAGTGTTAATGATCATTAAGTTTATTGGTTCTTCTGTCAACGTGAAGCTGCTGTTAATCCTATCTAGTGACTTCTTCATTCTAGTCATTTTCTTCTCCAGATTTGGTTCATTATTATGGTCTATTATTTTAATTGGGCTTTGGGTGTTCAGTCAATCTTGCATTCCTCAAATAAATGTTCTTTAATTATACCTTTTCTACATTTGAGTTTAGCCAAAAGGTGGAGCAGTGAAAGTTGCATATTTCCTAATTTTTATATTATAGATACAAAAAATTATCTCACAGAGCGAATCTTAACCCAAAAGGTTTAAATTAGAGAAATCTATGAAATATTTAAATAACACCAATACTCCAACAGGCATATAATTCTTAAATAGAGTAGGAAAAAACACTTTTTCAATTTATTTTATGAAGTCAGTATTATCCTAATTCCCAAACGACCAAAAATAAGAAAAGAAAACCATGAACTAATACCTTCTCTTGAATCTAGATATAAAACTTCTCAACAAAATATTGGATAGTCAGTGCTATATAAAAAATGTATAACCAAAGGAATTTTATGTAAGAAAAGCAAGATTGGCTTAGCGTGAGAATCCCAATTCAAATAATAGTCAATATTAATAAAATAGGAGTGGTAACTTACATTATCTCAATTAATGCAGAAAAAAATCTTTTACAATTCCCAGCATCCATTTGTGATTAAAAACTATCAGTAAAACTAGAACAGAAAAAGAAATATGTTATCTTCATAAAGTGCATCTATAAAAACCCTAACACTATAAATAATTGAGATATATTATGTACATTTAACAATTTTCCACAAGGAATGTAATCATGTACTTGACCATATACTAATAAAAAATAAAAACAGAAGTCTTGATAATCATACATGTCATCAATAACTTAGCAAATATCATATGTAATATAATACATAAAAGCAAACTGGTCAACATACGGGTATGTGTAGAGAGGCTGAACTAATAGCCAGGCAATATAGATGAGGTTCAACAGGCAGTTGAAATTTGGAAATAGAGCTTCTGGGAACATACTTTTACACTGTCAAGGAAAATTGAAATTACAGAAGCACAGGCTACTCAAGAAAAACTATCATGCAAAAGGAAAGAGTCACCTTTCTTCAAAGAATAAATCATCAAAAGAAATTTGTAAATATGGATCAGTAACTGCTGATCAGCCATGCTGTACCTCATAAAAATGACTGTAGCAACTGGAAGTTGCTTTAAACTCATAATGTAAATGGAGAGTTTCTTTGCAAAACATTACCCCCCCTTTAAGAGACTTCCTTTCCTTTTGCTTTGGGGTTATCAAATGATTTGAACAAAGCTTAGTAGGGATAGATAAAAGTTTAAGTTTGATGCCTAGGGAACAGACAGATGCCACTGGAGAGACTTTAGACTCTCAAGTCCAAGAGATGTCCATTCCCTAATCAGAAAAGAACCCAGAGTCATTATCCCTTTTTCTCAACCAATAATACTGTCTTGTTTTCCAGAAACATGGCAGAAATCTTCTTAAATACACAACATCTACAGTTCTTCAGGGAATTCCTTAAACAACGGAAAGCTGAAACCCCATTGCAATTCCTGATAGCAGTACATAAGCTCAGCAAGGAGCTCAATGAAAAGACATACAAGTCTTCCTTGGAAAATACAATCAAGACTTACTTTCATGGCAAACAACCTCCTGGTATACATTCTTTTTCCTCCCGGCCCTGTTTTCTTCTTCCTTTAGTGTCTAGGAAGCTATCTGTGGAGCAGTCTTTCTCAAAGGAGCTCCCAGAGAGAACAGTATCCACATGGGGAACGTATTGAGACCAAGATTAAGAGGGACATTGAAAACGGAAAATAATACTAAATTCAAAGCTTTACTACTAAAATAAAAGCAGTCAAATGCCAGACAGTTTCACTTATATCCTTTCACTTAAATTTATTCAATCCTGAAATATTGAAATAATCAGTCAAACACACTGAAGTTAACTAGCTTTTATTATTAGTGGAACTTGAATTCAAAGCTGAGGCTTTGTATCATTAAATAACTGATTATAACGCTGGAGTCCCCCCACACCCACCCCACCATGAATTGTGAAAAGAATTACACTGGGAAGCGAAATTGTCTTCCGGAAACTATTTCAGAAATACTGTTTTGTTTTGTCTGATTTTCTTGCCTAAGGCAAGAAGGGAAATCTGGCCTGTGCATATCTATCATGACCAAAAGCGGAGGTTACAAACAAAATATTGACTTGTCATTCAAATGAAGAGTGAACATAACCCCATACTGGAGATAAACAAGTCTATAGCAAAGCAATAGAGATAGAGCTTATCTGTCACAGTTGAAGAAATGGAGCTTTCATGGGATTTTCGCCTGCAGTTAACCAAGATAAGGCCATAAATATTAAATTAAAAAGGTAATATTAGCAAGTCTATTTGCAAAAAGTGTTTACTTGCCTGATTTTGAGTTCTGTAAATCATTTTGAATGCGCTAGAAGAGAGAGAGAAGTACCCAGATCCTGTCTTTGATGCTGCCCTTATGACGACTGGTAATCTTGGATTCCCCATCTGCCCTGTAATTTCACTTTAGTCTTTTTACTCTCATGCTCTTTCCCTAAACCAAAAAGCTTCACGCCGGCTACAGCAATGAGTCCTTTACAAGTTTATTTTCTTTAGAATTTGAATGGAATTAAAGTAGAACCATATCTTATCTATAAATACCCTTGCATATAACATTCCAAATACACTTTGAAGATTTTCAAACAAAGTGTAGCCATTTTAGTCAAGACAGATTGCAAGTAGGGAGCTGTGAGACTCTAAAAAATATCAGTTACTTGAGAAGTGGTGGAGGGGAAGGATGGCCTTTTCACTCTCTCTTGCGTATTTTTAGAAGAAATGCTACAGTGCAATGCTCCTATTATCAAAGAAGTCGTTGACATGCAACAGGTCAGCACAACCACACTGCTCATACTCCAGAGCTACGTCACGAAATCTCTAGAAGAAAAATGGTGAGTATGTCCCTTGAAGGTAAGGATTCTTACTGGAGTTTCTCACTGGTTTTTGAAAGCCACATGAATCAAAGTTCTCATAATTCATTCTCATTGCCAGAGACCCCCTACAAAGGAAAAGACCAAATTCATTTAACCTTCCCACATGCACATGTGTCATACCACACGCACATGTGTGCGCGTGTGCACACACACACACACACACACACACATACACACACAACTTTCTGTTTCCTTGCTTTAAGGCCTTAACAAGGTATCACCCAGTAGTGAACAGAAAAGATCATTAATGAAGGATTGAAAGAATATTTTAAGTAATTCACCATTCTCCAATTCCAACTGCAGTTCCTCTAGATTCGCTTTCTATGTGCCAAGTTCTTGTCTTTTTTTTTTTTTTTTTGCATTATTTTTGGTCTCCCTTCTGACAGGCTTAAAGAGTATCAAGAATTGTTCCCTCCTCTTCCTCCTCCTCCTCTAGAGGTGGAAATTGAAGTGCCAACTTCACAGAAGAAGCCTTCAAAGACAGCAGTAAACCGGCAGGAATTCAAGGTCAGTGAGAAAGAGAGTGAATACAAAACACTGGTGACAAGAAAGCCGCTACCCAAGCATTGTCAGTTGCTCAAGACTATCTCTATTACCATAGTCACCAAAACCATCTCTCCTGGAGGATGGGTTTTTTGTTTTTGTCTTCATTTTTATTTTTTCTTTTTTGAGATAGGGTCTCACTGTGTAGTTCAGGCAGGCCTTGAATTAGTTGTGTAACCAAGGCTGGCCTCAACTCATGAGGACTCTTCTGCCTCAGCCTCCCGAGTGCTGGGATTACAGACATGCGCCACCATACTTGGCCTGGAGGTGGGCTTTTAAAGCCCCATTTTAAAAGGAAGATCTGAGGCTCAGAGATATTGTCACACTGGGAATTTAAAGAATTCCCTCCCTTCTGTGCCTGTGATTAAAGCCAAGTGAGCAATGGGAACAGGAGTTAAAGCCAGAATGTTACATCTACCAGCTACTCAATCTGGGAGAGGTTGTACAAACCCCTGACCTGCATTCCCTGACCTTTACATTAGAGCTAACAATTAGTCTTATATAGAAGTTTTGTGAGGATTAAATGTAATGAATGCCAAGTTCCTGGCACATAGTAAACTCTTAAGGAAGAGCAGATATAGTAACAAATAAATACTGCTCCTCTTCTTTCCTCAGAAAAGAGGTTGGCTGAAAATGATCTGTTTTATCAGGAGCTTTTGCAACTACCGAAGGTTTACATCAAATCCCATGAAGTGCCAGGAATTTATAGATTATCTTCACCTTGAAATGCACAACAAAGAGAGTAAGTCGCCTCTCTCTGTTAGTACTTTAGCTACATGGGTTAACCAAGGTCATTACTTTGTGTCACACAAGCTGGAATCTAGCAAGATCCCCTGTCTAGCAAACCAGTCCATGCCTGCAGACAGTGGCTTCTACTAGGGAGCCCAGCAAGAAAGCTGAGCGATTCATCTAAGTCACTGTGAGGTCTCACACTTCACAAAACAATTTTAATCTACCATTTAATTTCATCTTTCAAATATCTTTAATTTTTTCTACTTGTAAAATCAATACATACCATTAATAATGAGATAATAAAATTTGCAGGAATATATTGTGCACAAGTGAAAAATCCTTCAAGAGATAACATTGCTAACTGTTGTAAATCTACAACAAGTCTAAGAAAACAAGATTGTGAGATAATACAGCAGGAACCTGATGTCATATTCAGTATGGTAACTCCAGGAATCTGCAGAGTCTGGGACAAAACAAATGCTTACATTTTGCACAATTCTGCAGTTACCTTCCCATCCTGTATGTAACGGGGCACCAGACAGAACTCCACTTCTAGCAAAGGGAGCACCACACCTACATCACCTGGACTAGACTCCAGTGAAGGATTTCTAGGAATATTAGTAAACTCTAGACCTAGATTGGACAATTTTTAAACCCCAGCCAGGAAACTAAGCAAAGTGTACTTGTTAGAATCAGCCCCAAACAGCTCTCTTCTCAGATATAAATCCCTGTGGGTAGATTTCTTTGAATAACTCCTTTCCAGGAACTTTCTAAAATATAATTTATTTTTCTGACACACACTCTAAATTTTTTACAACTTCCCTCATTTTTTTTACTTCTTTGCATCTCTCTTTATCTTTTTACTATCAATTTTTAAAATAAAATTCTTGTGCTTGACTTTCTCTTTATGTTGCTTTTCCCATGTATTCCTAAATGACTTCTCTGATAAACTTTTGTTTGTCTGTTTGTTTTGCTTTTGTGGTATTAGGAAATGAACTCAGGCTCCATACACTGAGCTATGTGTCGGCACCTTTTTTAATTTTTTTATTTTGAGACAATGTCTCCCTAAATTGCTAAACTGCACAATAGCCTTGAATTTGTGACCTTCCTGTCTCAGCCTTTGGGAATGCTGGGATTACAGGCCAGACATGTACCATCACACCCTGCCTTCCCAGATAAACCGTGAATAAACATCATCAGAACCATCTTAATCACTTACCTTGTCCTTAGCACAAAATACCTAACCCCAACAATTTAAAGAAGAGAGATTTATTTTGGCTCATAGATTGCAGAGGTTTTAGTCAGTCTACTGTCAGCCAGTGCCAAGGCAGAGGCATGATAGAAGGGCTTGAGCAGAGGAAACCTGCTTATCTGATGGCATCCAGGAAGCAGAGAGAGTGAGGGGCAGGGAGCCAGGAAAGGATACAGACCCTTCCAGACCGCCCCACCGTGACCGCCTCCTCTGACCAGATTCTGCCTCCCACTGTGTCACTGAGCTCTAAACTCATCAGTGGACTAACCTGCTGATGATTATCACAGTCACGGCACCTCCCAAAGCCCCACCTATGCACACGTGAGGCTTTAGGACACTTCTGGATATAAGCCATAACAACCACACTCTCTGTTTAGAAGGTCACATCACCATGTTCAGTTTTTAGTCTCTACAGAAACCTCAGGGTATAACTCGTGTGATTTCGTTTGTATTAGACAAATACCATGAAAACATCCTTCATTGTCAGGTTACTTTTGTTATTGTTGTTGTTGTTTTCATCGTTGTGTGTGCTGAGCAGTCCTTTGTGTTGAGTCTAAGTGGAAGCTGCCCCCAATGGTAGAAAATGACCCTTGCAATAGGCCAAAAGGATTGCTGTACAATCTCCTTTCTTCATCGTACTTATGCCAAGTTGAGGTGATGTACAGGCGTACGAGTAACTTGATCAAACCAATTGTAATTACTTCTTTCTTCTCAGATTTCTCCTCATCACCCACTGTATCAGGACGTCAAACTTCACAGTCCCCAAATGTCCGGGTTTCAGAACAGGAGAAGGAAGAAATAACCCTGGTAAAACGTCGTATATATGGCCAGAGGACCATTGTCATCAACTTTGCAGTTAATGATTTATATTTCTTTTCTGAAATGGAGAAGTGAGTTTACCCTCTTCCCTTCCACTTGTGACTTTCCCTCCTTAAGCCCTCCTAGCAAAGCTTGGCTTGACCTCTAAGAGGCACGGTGGTTTCAGCCCTGCTAAGCAAAACTCTGGACAATCCCAGTGACTGTGTCACTCCCTCAAATTCTATCATGCGGGGTGTGTATGTGTGTGTTTGTGTGTGTGTTTCTAAAGCTCTCTAATACTCAGTATTTCCAATGTTGAACGGTTCTTACCTATTCCCATTTTTCTTTGTTATTTATAAATATGGAAGAAGGCTTCTTATGTAATACCACTGGACCAATTATCAAAGTAAAACTTGTGTGTGACTTTAAACATATTTTTTAAGTTTAATCATACTAACGTACATTCATTTAGCTGCCAAACTTTTATGTAAAATCAAAGTCAATCCACCAAGTAAAAGCCCATATGTTTTGTATAAACTCTAAGCTATACCTAAAATTCTGTCAACTGACTCTAGTGAAAATTGTTTTAAAGTAAAACAAGAATTTAAAGTCTACTGCAATTTATTTCTTCTGAATATTGATTGATTGATTGATTGATGATTGTAGTGCTGGGGCTGGAACCCATGGCCTCATGTATGCTAGTTGAACACTCTACCACTAAGCCACCCCTCCTCCAATACTTAGGAATTTTTGTACTTCTTTCTTCAATAATTTTCTTTGCCATACCTATGTCAACAGGATTTTGTTTTGTTTTATTTGTTTGTTTTTTGTATTGGAGAACGAACTCACTACCTCAGCTTGCTAGGCAATCGCTGTGCCACTGAGCGATAGCCCTGGCCTGGGAATACTTTTTTAAAAAGTTACCTGTGTTTGCTGGAACATTTCAAACATTCAAACTTGTTCTCATAAAAATGCTATTTTTTTCTTTTTTATGTCCATATTTTGGCCTTTTTCATGCATCACAAATTAAGAGTAACAACTCCAAAAGGCAAAAATATTTGGCAAGCAACATGAATAATTCTTGATAAATATCTGCCCCAAGCAGCTGGAGAAGTGCGAGCAGGTACTAACAAGGGCCTACCAGGCTATGCTTGGCTTCCCAAGGACACGAAGCAGTGGAATTTTCAGAAATGTAGAGCACCCTCCAGTTTAGTTCAGAGATCTTTCACTGCACCTTAACGAAGATTTATCTTAGTCCTCAAAATGTCTATTGGTTGCTTGGTCTCTGCTGAGCTCAAATTTGGCATTAGGCACAAAAAACCCCAGATATGTTCTGTCTAAGACCCTATACACTAAGGGATTGCTGAGAAGGGTCTTGGATGACAGGCATTAGGCAGAGTTTGACACAGCAAGTGCACTGAAATAGTCATGAGTCCTGGGTATGGTCTTTTGAAAGACACTTGGCTGAATTGTGAAAGAGGAGCAGGGGTGAGTCAGATACCAAGTTGTTTAACACGAAGGCAGCAGGGTATGAAGAGAAGCTAGTCAGAGCAGTCAGAATCTGCCAGTGCTGCTCTGATCCACCCCACCCCACCTTGGCCTCTGCTCCCTTGCTCACCCTTTGGAAGCCAGAGTAGCCTATTAAAAAGCATAAACTCAGGGAATGTGACTCTCCTACCTAAAATGCTCCAATGGGCTTGCATTGCTGCTGGAATGGAATCCAAATGTTCCATTGCCTGAAGTACTCTGCATGGGTAGGACCTACCTGCATCTCAGGGCTTGCCTCATGCTGCACAGAAAACAGCAAGCTGGCTCCCGCTACAGGACAGAAGGGGCAAAGCATGAAGAATTGGGTAAAAAAAAAAAATAAGTGGGGGTGCTATGGTGAAGCAGGGCACTTGAAGAAGTACTTACCATGTTATCTGGCATATGGTCTGTCCATAATCTGTATTTTCCAACCTGAATTAAACTGAACAAATGAAGTCACAATTGGGTTCACATTTGACCCTCCCATTTTCAGGCCAGACATAGGTCTGGGCCAGGTACCTTATTGCTGCTTTCATGTTGTTCATGCTGATTTTTTGTTTATTGTATCTTTTTTTTTTTTTTTTAGGTTTAATGCTTTGGTGAGTTCAGCTCAATTGCTGCAGGCCAATCGGACATTCAACGAAAATGACTTGGTCCTCATGCAGGCCAAAATTAACATTATCCTAAGGCTCTTCTTACATGCTGAAGTTCCTCCAAGACTGAGGGTGAGGAGGACTCCAACTGCACGTTGACCTTTTGCCAAGAAGCATTCCCCTCATCCCCTAATAATTGCAAGACACTTCCTAAATCCTGGGCGAACTAACTGTCCTTTCCTAGTAAGCCCACAAAAAGTTTTGGCTTCCAGAAATTGAGTGATCTTGAGGTCTCTGGGGGCCAAGAAAGGTGGTCTGCTTTGCCCTGAACTCTCTCTCTGTCGACAGGTTAACATCAGTGAGGCCCAGAAGGATGCCATCCTTACTTCCATTGCAGAGGGCCACCTAGACTGGAACATGTTCCACGGAGCTATCATATCTGTCTTCCCTGTCATTATGTACTTCTGGAGAAGGTAACAAGTTCCCTTTATCTGATGACTTCCTGGTGAAGAAAATAGATTTCTGTCTTCCCCTAGGGCTTGGTTTCCTAGTTTCTCACTTCATGGTAAGTGTGATGATGGTTCATATCCTATATTCCACACTCCATCTCTCACACTGCACTGATTTAGAAGATGGAAGACAGAGACCAAGACCCATAAGGGTTCTTCACCTCCTCCTTTTCCTTTGCTTGCCTGGATGAAGGCTGTGAGGTTTCCTTAGGCCTATGTCTCTCACCTAGGGGTGAGGTGGTTGCATTTTCTCGGAGAAATTCTGTCAAGGTCACACAACTTCTTATGCTTAGGAGCCTCATGGAGGGAGTAAACCAGAAGGGCATTAATGTTATGCCCAAATCCCATAATCACTACAGAGGGTGCACAGTTGCTAGATACTCCAAAGAAATAGAAAAATCTCAATTCAAGATAAGCAATCAGCCTTTCAAACTACTACTGCTATCTAGCCCCTAATTCTGGTTCTCCTAGCCAGCACTAAACAGAAATTCATCTTAAGACTCTGTGAGGGACCAAAAACTTCTAGAAGACATATTCTTGTCCTGGCTTGATTCAACATTCAGCTCCCTCCACATGTACTGTGTTTAGAAAGACAGGATGCTAAGATAACAATATGTAATCTATCAACTAGTGATGTCTTACTGCTTTTTTTTTTTTTTTTTGGAAATTCTGTATTTCTATCCTTTTTTCTGTTTTGCTTTTTTTCTCTAAATAAAAAAAAAAAAAAACAGAAGACAGGCTGCTCTCAAGAGGGTTGAATCCCTGATTTTCATGCAGTTAATTTGTCACTTGCCTTGCTTCCCTATATACTTTATAGAGAGATTTACATGTGTGTTATGCAAACTGTGTTCATATATATTAACCTAAAGGAAGTTCTCAATGACCCTGGGAAGTAGTTGGAGAAAAATATTATTATCCCTGTTTTACAGCAGGGGAAATTGAGATTCAGCGTAGTTAAAAGACTTGCTCAGATCACCAGGTAAATGATAACACCAGGAGTAGAAATCAGGTCTCTTGAGCTCTTACCACACCACACATAATCTCTCAGTAGCATATTGTCCACGAGGGAGGCACTATTTAGTGATTGTAACAGGAGGAAGCAACTGTGATAAAATAGTCTGCCTCTTGGGGAAGGAGGAGGGTGGCAGCAGGCCAGGCCACCAGAGCCCAGGAAGCATGAAGGTAGACATAGTGTTAGCTAGGATTCACCGAGGGACACAATGCCTGGCCTGGCTGAGGGGGAGGGGAGCAGGGAAGAAGCATTGTGAGGACTTCTAGGGAGCATCAGTTCTCAGGTGACCATGTACATAGATGGGAGGAGCCAGAGCTATTCCACGGAAAAGCCATAGAAGGTGAGGGACCGCAAAGCTCTTAAGAAAGGACTGATGAAAGCCAGTCAGACCCTTTGCTTGCATCGGATGGGTGAGAATGGAGATTTTAAAGCCTGAAGCTCAGGCAAGCACCTCAACAGATTCTTCACAGACTCATTTGCTGTGGTTCTAGAAGAAAGTCCTCACCTATAGCCCGGGCCAGGCCCCTCTCCCCTAGAACAGATCTGGACAAAGAGGAGGCCCCCGAAGAAGGACCTCTGACAGGCAGCCCCCCAATGTCAGGTCTCCTCTTTGTTGAACACCACGTACCCTTGGTGGGGGATGGCCCTCCAGGCATCCCCTGTCCTCTCTGTTCCGGTGCCCTCTACTGAGAGTTTTCTTCCTGTAACCAGAAACTATTCTTTCCACAGGTTTTGTTCCTGGAAGGCAACTCATGCTTATTTACAGTTTGTAGGGAAGAAAGTCAAGGATAGAAAAATTTCTCCTAAACCAATAAACAAGACTCCCCCTGTGAGTTCAGGTAAGTATATCTGGACCACAGCCCCAGACTTCTAAAGAAAAAGCCTCACAGGCTTTTTTGTGGGAACAACAGATAGCTCTTTAACATGGGCCTTGCAGAAACAGTAAGACTCAGAGAGAAGGACATCTTACCCAGGGCTAGAAATGCTAGTGAGGGGATGCCTCACCGTGGACCACCCCCACCAGTGGAACTGAGGATGCCTGTGGCTCACTTATCACATTCTGCATGGCGGGCACCTGGAGGTGGCGACCTGCTTCATCCTTGTTTAGGAGACTGCTTGCTTCAACTGACTCTTCAGCCCTAACATTTGAAAAGTAATGGTTTTCATTGTGAAAAAATAATTTAAAACTAGATAATTTAAAACTAAAAATTTAACGTGATAGTATCTTTTTATGTTCTCAGTGACTTTTCACATTGCTGAGACAAAAGAACTGACACCTTATCAGGTTCTGACCTAGATCCCTGATCTTTCAAACAAGTGTATGTGGAGGTTAAATAAAAAGAGACAAACTGGCCGGCGTGGTGGCTCGCGCCTGTAATCCTAGCACTTGGGAGGCTGAGGTGGGAAGATCCTTGCGAGTTTGAGACCAGCCTGGGCTACAAAGTGAGCTCAAGGCCAGCCTGAACTGCATAGCAAGACCCCATCTCAAAAAAAAACTGTGTGATTTTTAGGGCTCCAGGAAGATCAAAACCCTTTAGTTGAGCTCCCAACTCCGAGAACTATGACAAAGCTTCTCTGGATTAGCCCACTTTCATTAGGACTAAGACAAGAGGCGGAGAAACTGAGGAAAACACAGGAAATGAGCAGGGCCTTGGAGGTCACTCCAAAGACTTCCCCAAGTAAGTAGGTTAAGCCAACTTAGGAGAACCATCTTATCTCCAAGATGACATTTATGGTAGGATTGAGACTGCAGGAGTGAGATTCCTACAGCTGCAGTCTCTATTTACTTAATTAGTGTTGGAGCCAAGATGTCTTCAGCTATGGCCTTATCTTGCCCTTTGAGGTATCTCTGGCCTCCGAGGCCACTACAGGCCTCAGTCAGGACCAGTTGATTCATAGAGGTTCACTTACTATGACTCAGCTCTCATCGCCAGGCAAGGGGCCTAGGCCTAGGACAGACTCACAGATAAACATAGAAAGCCAATTAGTAAAATTTAAATCCTGCTCAGAGCTGCTAGGTAGTGGTCCCCAACACCACCTAAAGTTAAAGGAGAAAAAGGTCTATTCAGATCACAGTTTGTAGTGGTTTCGGTCCACAAGTGGCTGGCTCCAAGGCAAGGTGACTTGGCAGAGGAGCAACTGTTCATGGCAGAAGAAGACAGCAAGGGCAACAAAGGAAGGAAGGAGGAAGCAAGAGAGGGAGAGGGAGGTGGAAGGGGGAATGGAAGAAGAGGGACAAGGAGAGGAAGAAACGGAGGAGAGAGAGAGACGGAGAGAGAGAGAGAGAAAGGGTGAGAGAGAAAGACAGAGAAGCTCTTTCTCTTGCATTTATTTTATCCAGTCTATGGGGTTTGGGGTAATGCCAATCCAGTCAGTGGACTAATCCAGCAATCATCCACCCTTAATCCCAGCACCCTAAATCCCAGAACTGCACTGCAAATCAGTCACTCACGTGAGATGTAGGCCCCTCTGAAAAAAATTCTATGACCACATGAGACTTTGGGGAGACATCTAGACACAAACCATAACATTGTTTCCTTAATCCCTCAAAGACTTAAACACAATTCTTTATGAAAAAAAAAAAATTTGTCTGTCTCCAAGAATTGCCAGACTGTTGTCTTAACAGTTTCAGCATTGCCAAGAAGTTCAAGTCAGAAGTCTCTGATATTTAAGACAAACTCTTAGCTGTAAGCCCCTGTACAAATGGAAAAGTAAACACTTCAGACATTTCAATGGTTCAAGATGGACATTTCCATTCTGCAAGTTACAAACAGTGGGATACAAAGGAATTGAACCAAAGCAAGTCCAAAACCCAGCAAAGCAAACATTACAGCTCTATGTGCAGTATCCAAGGCAATCTGTGGCAAAATGTGAACTCCAAAGGTTTGGGTGGCTTTACCCCATGGTACTTCTGGTAGTTATAGCTTCAACAGCTTCTCTTTTGGGTCCCCTATGTTCCTTCCTTGCAGTTTTCCTCAGAAAAATCCACATTTCTGGCTTCTCCAAATATCTGGGGTCTCTACTTATCTTCACACAGTGAAACTTCACACAGTGCTCTCTCAGGGGTACACTGCCTCACCTCCCAAGCCTTCTGAAATTGGAGTGGAAGCCTTCCTGACCCTTCAACTCTTGCATTCTGCATGCACCTAAAACCAGTGTCCCATGGGTGATGCCAAGGTTTACCACCAACTGGTGCAGTAGCCAGACTTCCCTCTCTGTTGGCTCTAGGGGCCCAGCTCCTGGATCACTGGGCACTCTGAATCCTATTAAAGAACAAATATGCTACCAACATTCTGGAATACAGTGCTTTGGGGCTTTCTCCTTAGTGCAAAGTCTTTACCTTTTGCAATTTTGATACTGCAAAAGGTGGAGTCATGTTGCTTCTTGTGATGCTCTCAGGTCTTTTCTATTCTTCTGTTCTTTCTCAGCAATCTAGATTTCCTCTGCTCTTTGTAGTCCATAGCTTTATTGGAGCTTGCTTTCTGACCAAATTCATGTTTTAAATCATTCTGTTGTACTCTTTGCTCTTGATTCTCAACATAGATTTAGCCAAAAAAAAAAAAAAATATTTGACATATCACTGCTTCAACATTTGACTCCCTTGAAATTTCTTCTGGCAGATAACTAGTCTGCCATCATTAATCTCAGTCTCAGGCAAAGCTTCTGCACATGAGAAAATGCAGAAAAGCTTTTCCATCCCATTCTTAGTTCAAACAAGGGCCCTTGAGCCCTCAATCCATCTGAACATCTGCAGAAGCAACTCTGACTAGTTGTAGAGCCTTGACGCCTGCTTCTCAGTAGGAAAAAAGCCATTTATCTGTGTCCCTGGCTGAAGCAGATCTGTGAACATTTTTCATCATCCTTTTCTTTGCAAAATGTTATGTCAGCAGTCAAAAAACAGCAGTCTCTTTAGTATGTACAGCAGTATATTCCTATGAGTGAGACAGTTTATTTAGAAGGTAAGGATGGAGGTTGAAGAAGAGAATAGTAAGAAAAAAAGGAGAGAAGCGGATAGGCAGGGCAAGTACACACTACTCATGCAGAGGGGACAGACCATGTCCTTCAGTGGGAAGTGAAGTGCTCCCTGCCTTTGGTTTACTTCCTTACCTGCCCTTTAAGGAAATAGGATCCCTAATATCACCTGGTATCCAAAGAGTGAAGAGGGTAACCCTGAATTAAGCAGGAAGAGGGCAGTGGAATACCCTAAATTATGAGGTCAAGATCCTATGCTTGGAGTATCTTTTAAAGTTAAGACATGTTGAACTTTCCTTTCCACTCTTACGGGATTTCAGATACAAATGACTGGATTTAGATAACACACTGTAAGCTGGAAACGGTTAGGCCAGAGATTTCTTGGTTACATAGAAAGATTTTTTAAATCAGGCACTGCCGTAAGGACTTTAATAGGCTCCTTTCTTTTATTTCCAGGTGACCACAATGTTTTAAGATTTTCCTTGCTCAGAGGTATAGAGTGGTTGCGGTCTCAACAGAAGGAGGTACCAAGTAGTCCACTTCCAAATTGTGAGTTGGAAACCCACCGCTTGCAAAATTTTACTACTTAAGTGAAGGGTGATCTGAGGGCAACTTGACAAATTCGCTTATTGACAGGAGACCCCCAAAACAAAAAGTGATTTGCTAAAGGTCACACAACTTGTGAATGGCAGAGATACAGTACCAAGTAATTCTGCTGGCCTCCTTCCGGGCAATGTGCACAGCTCTCATTTGAATAATTGTATCTTCTGGATTCTTTTGTAGTCTCCTAAGGTAGCTTCTCCCTGTGTCTGAAGACCCTTTTGCCGATTTTAGGCATGATGTGGTCATTACTAAGAGACCACCTTAACATGCCAGTAGTTAGTTTCCCTCCTGCTGAGACTTCCTCTTGGCTTGAACAGTGCCTCCACCCCTTACGTTCTGCTTCTTAGGATCCCCTGCTGCTGAACTTACCTCTGTAACAAACTATAGCTCCTGCTTCCTAGACTGAGGACACAGAATATTTTTGTCCTTTTCTGTCATCAGCCTCAACAAGTCAATTCCACTCCAAGGCACTAAACTTGCCTTTGTTTCCATGTAGCCTCTCCCGATAAACTTCCCTTTCTATTCAAATTATTAGATTTTATTTGGAGAAGTTGAAGATGAGGCTCTCCTGCTTCTTGTGACATAAAGTGCCAGTTTGAAGGAATCACACCTTTGAATGTTTTGCCAGTACTGGGGGGGGGCCCACCATTGGAACACTGCCCATGATCCATGGGCACCCAAGTAGCCTGACCTAATCTCCTTATTTTACTTCCTTGGGTTTATGTGTTTGGCATCAAACTTTTTACATGTGTGTGAAATGTCTCCTGAGACAAAAGGATATTACAGGATGCAAATGAGGCCAGGTCTTAAGAACATGCCCAGAGCAACACATCTTTATTGTCACCTTCGGAGCATCTTCCTACTATGGCCTTTTGGTGGCTGCAGGTCTTCCAGGGATGGTGTCTGTGTCATGATTTCTGACTGTTTTTCTTTTTGTCTCTAGCTTCCTCTAGCAACCTCACCCCAACAAGAACTGCACTGTCTGCTATCCAGCTGTATCCAGCCTGGGGGTAGGCATGAGCCAGAAGTACTGTTCTGCAGTTAAGAGCCACTGTGTCCAAGCATACAATGAGGGCGGAGCAGCTCTGCATTCTGAGGTTCCTCTGTATAGAGACTCAAGCCGAGCTTGCTGCCTCTGGAAGGCGTGAAGTCAGGGAACTTAGGGAACAATTTCTCTTTGAGCTTTTTGATCACTTCCAGCTAGAACAGGTATTTTTAGGAAGTTGTAATCCCTGCTCTATCTTGCAATAAAACACTGTTGCCAGAGGAAGAATGGTCTAGGTGATCTTTTTGTGCCAACTTCCCACATTATCCCAGCTCTTTAGGGTAAGATGAATAACACAGGAAAATAAGAAGGGGCATGATTTTGGCAGTATGAACAGAAAGGATTTGAGCCTGCCCAAACCCATCAGCCTAACTCATTTCTGTACAGGCATCAAAGTGAAATTGATGTTGGTTAGGGCTCAGAGAAATTATAGAAACCAGGGACCATAGAAACCACAGCTGAAAAATACCAATGAGTTACTTGAAGGTCAATGTTATATGTAGGAAGCTGGGCATGGTGTCACGTGCATGTAATCCCAGCACTCGAGACACTGAAGCAGGAAGCTCATTGCAAGTTCAAGACCAGCCTGGGATACGAAGTGAATTTAAGGCCAGCCTGAATAGCATAGTGAGACCCTGTCTCAAAAAGTTAAAAAAAAAAAAAAAAAAGTTATATGTGGGAGCCTCTGAATGGCAGATTTGATTTCCTTGCCAGCCATTCTACCTTCTCTGGCTTGTTTCCAGACTTGTCCTTCCAACAAAGACATGGTGCTGTCCAGGTGTCCTTTGCCAGAGATGATGCCTGAGAAACAGGCATCTTTGGAGCTCTTCAAACCAAGTGACTTTGGAGCTCTTCATACTAGAAAGGCAGTATGTAGCCTCAGAGCTCACAAACTGTTGACACAGAAGGTGAAAATTAAAATGTGAGAAGCTTTGTGCTGAAACCAAAAGGTCTGAGTTCTGGATATTGCCGTTTCTAAAGACAGCGAGCCAGCAGACAGTGCAGCTCTAGCTACCTCACTGACATTGTAATAACTGAGTATTCTTTTTTCTTCTTTTAGACCAAAATTATCCCACACCAAAAAGGAGAGGAAATAACCAACTGAGGTCCCCAGCAAAGGCAAATCATCTCTCAGAGGCCTCCAGTAACAGAACTTTTCCTGGTTAGAAATGAAATTCCCTGGCATCATCTGCCCCTGGAAAGATCAAGAAGGACAGTGTCCATTCAATACGACAGTACGAGACTGCATTGTAAAGACGTGAGCAGACAGTGTGGGAGTCCACTGGAGGTGGTCTTTCCACAGTGGTTAGGTTAGCAACTTGGATTCAGAGTCTCCCTCTGCACTTGCCTGGCCTGAGCCAATCAGAGATTGCTGAAGAATCCTGTGATGAATGGATGGCGACGTGATTGGACTCTATAGGAAGCTATTCTTATTATCAGCAGTAACAGAAGAGGCCTTTTAATGCTAGGATCTCACATTTGCATAATGCTCAGTGTTCAATGTCTCAGTAAACAGCGCAGTGAACAACCATGTCCAAAATCATTTATTTTTAAATAGATGAAGAAACTAATACATGAAAAGGTAAATGACCATCTCAAGAATACTAGGTGATAAATATCAGAGCCAAGACTAAAACAGTGATTCTATGTCCTGTTCTCATTCTGTGGTAACTATCTGCACAACTTCTCATGCCCAAAGGGAACAGCTCTTCCCTAAAGTTGTATTCACTTGTTAACCAATAGAGAGATTCTTGATAAAGATTTTCACCTAAATGGTTGCCATAATTATATAATCACTGACTCATTTTCTGTCCTTTGAAAAAGTCTTTTGAATCTGAGATCTTTGCCTCAGCTTCTTGTTTCTTAAAAATTTCCCCATCTATCTTCATTCATAGTCAGGTGCAGGCATGCAAACACACACAAGCATGTTATTTAAAAGGCCTGGTGACGTTTCCTAGAACCATAGTGAATAGACAAATAATCTGCTCATTCTTCAAATCTTGCTGATTTCCTTCTTTGAGCTACTTACGCTTCTCCTCCATAGGTCCCTGATCTAATGTGTTCTAATCCAGGCTGGTGTCACAAAGGCAGTCACCTGGAGAATGCAAGCAGGTAACATGTATGAGTAAAGCAACCCATACGAGACAATTGGGAATTGTAGAAACTGTGATAAAGCTCAAACATATCTCTATAACTGTAATACTTTGCTCCAACCAGCCAATCGACTATTGTTAAAACTTCTGCTTAGGAAGGAGGAACAAAACAAAAATAAGAGAAAAGAGGGAGAGAGGGACAGAGGGACAGAGGAAAGAAAAGGAAAAAAGCTAAGAAACTTTATTTGCTAATATCTTAGGTTACCATTAACAACAGTCTAATCAAGAAACAGATACTGATACAAATTTCTAATCTCTTTCAACTTGAGAACATTTTTTAAAAAGTGCACAAGCCCCAATCCAGACCAACTGAATTTCTGTGCTTGGAGCCAATGTGTTAGAATTTTTTAAAGCTCTTCACAGGCTTGAGTACATAAAATCGATATTCAACAGTATGAAAACTAATTCCAGTGGAAAAGTCCTAATGTAGAATTAAGTATAACACGCAATAGTTTTGAGCTATATCCTTATAAGGAAATAAGTAACTTACATATTATAGAATAGGATTTTTTTAAATCACATAACTCAGAATTTCAGTGTTAATCCTTCAGTCTGAGACTAGATAAGAAACCTGTGCACAAGGAAAATATAGTAAAATAATGGCTTAATTTGAGAAAGTGTGACTTCCATAAAAAATTTAGTTTTCATTAGTTAACAGGGAGCTAGATAAACAGTGATCTCACAGACGTAGGGCAGAGACCATGTTGTTTTTCTTTGTACCTCCAATACCTAACAATGGCACCTAGATAATAGTTGCCCCATAAATATGTATTGCATACATGAGTCAAAGAATTGTGCTAGGAGCTGACAATGTAGTAAGGGCAGTGTGACACTTAAGCCTTCTCTGACATTAGCACTACAGTTATCTGAAATCAAATCAGTAGGTCTGTATAAGTGTGACCAGTACAACAAAGAAGAAAAATCAAATACTGTTTTCTTAATGAATTATTTTGCATTCCAGTAATCTTTGATGCATTAAGAACTTTACATTTTTTAAAGAAACTCAGACAATTCATTCAGACTAAAGAGTAACAGAGACAAAGGAAAGAAAGCAAGGGCGACTGAGCAATCGGTCTTCAGAGGAGCCTTTCCAGATACATGCATCAGAGAACAACACGAAACCTCTCGTCTATTTACAGAAGTATGGAAAGACATCTGTGCTCATCTGAGTGCCTCCAACTGACCCCAGGTCCAACCTTCCTAGAGGAGGGAATGGCCGGTGTGCACAGCACCTCAAGTGCCAATCGTCACCCCTACACCTCAACCAGGGCTGCAGGCCATTAGCCGGAATAAAGGGTGTCCACATTCACCACTGAGCCTGCAGTCCTCTTCTGAAGGCAAAGAGCACAGGGAAAACAGTGTCCCTGGGGAGTTCCCTAGGACATTTGCGATCCAGTTGGTTACTGGGCTAGCAGTTCCCATTCTGGACCAATACCACTGGCCAACCAGTCTCATTTAGTGACTTTCTGCTGACCCACAGAATCAGACCAGCAGGTCTCGCTGCCACTGATTTACAGTGTGAGGTTTTCCGTGAGACAGGCTGATTCCAAATCCTGTCTCCACTTCTGGGTCACCTTGTGATCATCAGGAAACCACTGTACTTGCCCTCACTGAGTCCTGATTGCATGTATCTCCCAGGTTTGTTGGAGCAAAAACTTGACATAACACAGGTCAAGTGCGCAGCAGCAGGCCAGGCCCATGGTTGGGAGTTGGGGACATTGGTTGCTGACTCTCTTCCCACTTCCTCACACTTCTCAGACACATGAGGAAAAATTGCCCAGAATAGTACTACTCATTTCTATATAATTCCATATGTATTTTCTCCAACAAACTCTATGAAAGTAGACTGGTCAGGACATAAGGAATATAATTCCTAATACATATGTGGTCCACAGAAAGCTTTCCATCCATTATATGTTTACTATTAATATAAAATTGTCTTCCTTCAGTTCCCTCTCCATGTCTACTTTGAGCTCCAGCAGAAACCTTTAAATATTAACAGCCCTTTATTGAACATTTACTACATGACAGCGGGGATAAAAATTAAAAAGCCTCACTCCACAGATGATGTAATAGAGGCAGAGACATCAGGAGGCAACCAAGAATACACATCTAGTAAGCAGCTTGAAACCTAAGATGCTTGGAGAGACACAGCATATGTAAACGTAGCAAGAAACCAGGTATCTAGAATCGCTCATTTCTCTTCATAAATTGTGTTTGGGCTGTGTTTGGCAGGTGTTGAGACGCCAGCAAAAACACAGAAGTCCTACTAAGACTGATATCTTTAACAAATGAAAATGCAGGCCACTTCCACCACCGGAAGAATACAGAAAAAGTGCCATGTGTACACAATGGGATATTATTTACTCATTTGAAAAAGAATGAAGTCCTATCATTTGCAACAACATGATTTAGTCTAGAGGACATTACGGTAACTGAAATAAGTTAGGCCTAGAAAGGCAAATGTCTGATCTTCTCACTCAGATGTGAACCAAGAGAAGCTGTTCTCATAGAAGGGGTAGAACATTGGTTACCAGAGGGGAAGGAGCAATATAGGGGTTGGCAGAGGTTAGTTAATGGATATAGGGGTGCATCTGTGTAGGAGGAATAATTTCTAATGCTCTGTAGCACAGCAGGATAACTGTGACTGACATTAGTTATATATTTCAAAATAGCTGGTGGAAAGATTTCTAATGTTTCCAACAAAAAGAAACAATAAATGTTTGAGGCCAATATATGTACCAATTCTTGATCTAATCATTACAGATATACACCCACATGGAAATATTACTCTATACCCCACAAGTGTGTACAATTTTGTGCCAATTTAATAAATAAAAGAAGTTAAATGTGAATTTCATGTAAGCAATGAATAATTTTTAGCATTAACAGTGCCCAAATAATGTATAAATGATATTGAGACTAAAAAAATGGTTGATTACTTGACATTCAAATATAATTCTGCATCATACATTGGATCTAACAACCTTCCAAACATAAAATGAATCTGGACGTTGGAATATCTAACACTGGGCTGGAATCCTCTGGGGAAAGGAAGTCCTGCAAGGCGTGAGAAGAGGAGCTACTTTGGTGGGGGCATTATCCTTCTCCTTTCCCTGAAACCCTCCCCCAGGTCTCGTAAGAGTGAAATCAAAGTGCTCTGTCCCTGCAGGTGAACCAAGGACACACTCTGAGGATTATAAGAAGGAGAGAGGGAATGAGAACCACAAATTGTCTGGGCATCTTGAGGAGAGGAAATTTGTTTATACAACTAGTTTCTTCAATTATCACTTCTCTAAATGGGCGTTTAATAGCCCATCTGAGAAAATCTAAGGTCAATGATCATACTGTTTCTGACATTATCATCCTACTTCAGCTACCAACTATCAAAGAAATTTGGAAATTAAATCCATTTATATTCTGAAAACTAGTCATTCTGTGATGCCACAGACAGTGGGGATGCACAGAGGCCACACAGAAGAGGGTGCCAAAGGGCAACAGCTGGCACTCTCAGTTTAGGATAATCTGAGGTCAACTTCGTAACAGGACCATTTACAAAGGCATAGGAGAGTGTCCAGAGGGTGTAAGGGAGAAAACAGTCACACATGGGCTCCAAAACCAGCTCAAGTCCCTGAGGATGGGCCTGGTAGTCAACCCAAGATGGAGATAATCCTGAAAATTAGATCTCTGTGCTGTGACCTTCACAGCCCCAGGAAAGCCTGGAAGGAAGAAACAGGAGAATTAAATACCCAGGTCTTGTCCTGCTCCCTTCTAGTTTCCTATTGAGGATTCCCACTGGTTGAACTCATTTCTCAGCCACAGAGTGAGGAGGTTCATCAACATAGTCCATCCAGATCACAAGCAGCAGGATGTGGAAGAGTGAAGCCAAGATTTAGAGAAGCACATAGAAAATGAATGACAAGTGTATACAACTTACATTAGTTTGATCCTCGGGGATCAGGCCTGAGTGGAAGCAGGAAGGGGGAATGGCAGCCTGGCACGTATGAGGGAGGGAGCCAGGTGTGCCGAGACATGGTTCAGGCCACAGGAGCAGCCCAACCAATCTCTACAAGTAAGAGGGAGCCCAACATGTTCCCAGATGTGTAGGAAGTTATTCAGTCCTACATAAATAAGTTGGAAAGAAAGTGACTAGGATCATAACCCACATTTGTTGAGCACTAGCTGTGTGCAAGGCAGATACTAACGCTTTATATAGATGGTCTTATTTGATCTTCCCAATGAAGTTATGAAGTAAATTCTACCCATATTCTATGGATAAGAAAATTACAGCTTTGAAAAGTTTAAGTAAGCATCAAAATAGCACAGCTGATGAGTGCAATTCTGGGATTTGATTTCCCAGAAGCTGATCACCACAATTCACACTATCAGCCATGACTCTCTTGCTTCTTGTCAGTGATGGGTTCCACCCATGTGAAGCATTGCCAGACTCAGCCTGGTGCCTGCCCAACATGACATTGGACATTGCCTCCCTTCTACACTGACTTCTGTGTTGTTCTTGCAAACCTGAAAATTGAATGCCCTGCTTTTCATGTATGTGCCAACATTCCCCCAACCAGCTGTCAAAATGTCCATCCCTTCAAACTCCACCCCTTTTCAAACTGAATAAAAACTAGAGATATTTTTGTCTGCCCCTAGGCGATGTTGCAGTCTACTGCAGCTCTCCTGTGTCCACAATAAAAGCATTTTTTTTCTATTTTCTTTCCTTTACTCTTGCTTTTCTGTTGCGCTGAGGAAAAACCTATCAGTCAGCAGCTGCGTGTAACTGTGCTCTCCCAACCTGCTAATACATTGGA